CCGGAGACACTCATTGCAGATCCAAGCCCAACATCAATCAGTACAACAGTCTATAGACATGCCCAGATACAAGAAATCTGTCAATACCATGTACTATGTGATTGGTGCGTTCTTAGTATGTTATGTCCCGTTTGCAGGAATGATGGCCGTCAATAGTGATGCCAGTAAGCAGATAACACAGAAAAAGGTGGTGTTGATTGTTGTCGCAGAGACGATTATCATGACGAATGGAATGTTGAATCCAATCATTTACTTCTGGAGAATCCAGGAGATACGTCAGTCGGCTTTTCAATTATTTCAAAAAACTTTCAGAAATGCCCAGCCATGAAACAAAAACTGCAAATTGCCGTCACACTTCATCCTTTTATTCTTTTAAAAACATCCATATGTTTAAAGAAAATTCCTACTGATGTTTTTGATGCATCACAAAAGGGCCCGGTTGTACGAAGCCTGGATAGTGCTATCCAACGGATAAATCTTATCTCGTGGATAAATTTATTATTGGATAACAGCACCGACGTATCTACTGGATTGGGATTTATCTGCTGGATAGCGCTATCCAGGCTTCGTACAACCGGGCCCTGACTAAATCCCTCTTCATGATAAAATCATATTTTTCCTACATCCTTTTTTGTTCATTGAAAACAATATAAAATATACAGGTCATAATCACGACCTTCATGTTTGTTTGTTTGTGTCTTATGTCCGACAGGTTGCTGTTTTTTTACTCCGGCGTTTGCAATAGCCTAAAGCTACGGCCAAAGCGAAACATAGCACTGAACTCTGAAGCCCAGGGCAGAGAAAATGTATAGTCTGGTATATACGTAAATATCAATCAAGTCATTAAACACGGGCAACATTCATTTTGAAAGGAATGGATTTCAAGGGCATATTATATGAAACTTACTTTTCTTATTTTAACATCTTAACGTATTTTATTTTTTACAGTTGTGTATCAAACGCCGCTACAATTTTCCTGTACATTTAATATCAGCCCAAAAAGTGTGAAAATTGACGTGTGGAAAAAAGTGCGAAAAGCAGTAAATCAATTAATTAAAACTTTTAATTAAAACATTTATTAAAGCTATATCTACTTTTTGAATTTGTTTGCTTAATTGTATTTTAGTTGGTATAGCTGCGTAGGAAGCATTTCGTTTACTTACTCAGGCTTCTAGATGTCAAATATTGAATTGTATACTCCACCGAAGCCATGGCAACCACTTTGATATGCTGGAAAAGTCAAATTCTGATCATGAAAGATGGTGAATCTAGCTTTTGATGGAAGTTGTTATGGGTAGGGGCCAAGCAAAAATATACACACTTACTAATGTTATCTTCAATGTAAAGTGATGCAAACGAGATCTTTCTTAACCGAAATGCTTACAGATAAACTCTAGTTTTTTAAGGCAAACTATTTAAAGCATTACCTTTCTCCTTATTTTCCTCTCTTCTGTTCCACTCATTTCTTACTCTTTTTATATTAATAAATAAGCTTAGTACTGCTTGGCAGATTAAGTGCTAGCAGTCTATTATATTTATTTAGTTTTCTAATTTAATTTATTTTTATTAATTTTCATTAATTTGAGTAATTACATGTAATCAATTCCTTACTTGATTACACCTTAGAATTCGGTTGATTTTATTATTGATTTTACTTTTATTCAGTACCCCTTTTAGAATAAAACTCGATTACTTTATCGAGGCCAAGCAAATACTAGGAAATATTGAGCCACGTCAAAGTGATTTGTTCTGATTGGCTAATTCATTCATGGGGCATCCTATGAGAATTGAAAATATCTGCCAGTATGTCCGACCTTGTTTACGAACAACTTTGGCTTTAGAAAAATAGATGAATTTATTACCTCCAACCGGTAAAAGAAATATGTTATGGGACCATAAAACTAATAGCAAATGATTAAAAATAGAAGCAATTTGCTGATCGAGTAAGATGACACTTTTCTCGGTTTACAACCACCTTTGGCTTTAGAAAAATAGATTAATTTATTATATTACTTCCAAACGGGAAGAGAAAGCTTTTATGAGACCATAAAACTAATGATTTGTTATAACAAATGATTTAAAAAAATAGAAGCATTTTGGTGATCGAGTGAGATGACACTTTTCTCGGTTTACAACCACCTTTGGCTTTAGAAAAATAGATTAATTTATTACATTACTTCCAAACGGGAAAAGAAATATGTTATGGGACCATAAAACTAATAACAAATGATTAAAAATAGAAGCAATTTGGTGATCGAGTAAAGACGACACTTCAAAATTTCTTGTTTACAACCGCCTTTGGCTTTAGAAAAAAAAATGCATTTACGACTTCCAAAACAGTGGGGAGTCCAAGCGGGTACGAAAAGGCTGTTATAAGGTTATAAAAGTAATGAAAAGCGAGGATCAAAGATACGAGCAATTAGTTCAAGTAAAGAGGGCAGCTCAAAATATTGTCAGCATGTGGGGTATCGGAGATTTTAATTGGCAGGCGCGGTAAAATTCAGGTTTAGTTAAATTTGTGCACCTGTTTCCCTAGACCCTGCAGAAACGTTTATTGAGTTTGAATTTTTTTCATTGGATTCAGTCATCTTTGCTATCTAGGTAAATGGGTAGGTAGTTCAAAGGAACGCAAGCAATTTAGGACCACAGATCTCTTATAATTGCGAATTTTACTGGCGTTTACATTTACTAACAGAAATTGCATACTGGAAACGATTTTATCGTTAGTTAGATAATATTGTTTAAAGCTTGGCTTGTCTGCAAGGGGTTTGCGATCGCGACCAACCTGTATGCAGTATTGGTCTTTCACACCTATGTACCGCCTGAATACGGTTCATGGTATTGGAGAGGATAACTACTAGATGTTGAATAGATGAACACAAATGTCTATCCATTAATTGGATTTAATGCTGTATTGCAGCTTCATGTGTAAGTAAGCTGAAACCTTGTAAGTTCACTTGTCTCATTTGGGTGAAAAACGTTTTAATTGCCAGAGAATCAACGAGTCCTGTGTTCGCTCGTTTCGCGAATTTCAAGTTTGAAAACTAGTTATGTCCGCGAAAAGTGTTCCTCAATCATAAGAATCCCAGTCAAAACTGGGAAAACATTACTCATTCAGTGCTGGTGCATGGCCAAGAATTCAAGTTTAAATTCCTCGGGAGAACATTCGTTCCAGTCTTACTTGAATTTCTCATGGCAAAGATGGAAAACATTTCAATGAATCATAGCAGATCATATCCACCTTGTCCACCTTTGGATACCAATTCCCTCGATATTTCTCGTAGCCTTTACAGCAACGACTTCGTCATGACTTTCATCATTATCAACGCCGTACTTGCTTTTATTTCTTCATGCAACAATTTTGTAATTATTTGCACTATAGCAAGAACAGCATCCATTCAAGTTCCTTCCAATATCCTTGTTCTTGGCTTAGCCATATCTGACTTTGGCGTTGGCGTACTTGCACAGCCTGCATACAGCATCTTTAAGTTCTTCGAGATAAAGCGTTCTGTTTCTCTTTACTGTACGTTTGGTTTAGTTTACTTCTACAGCATTTGGACTCTTGCAACTGTTTCCTTTTTCACTTTAACAGCTATCACAGTAGATCGATTCCTGGCCGTCCATCTTCATTTACGATACCATGAACTTGTCACAATCAGAAGATATGGCATCCTTCTTGGGTGTATTTGGGTCATTGGTCCAGTTGTTTGTATTTGCCGAATGCAGCTGTACTATATTTCATTCTTCCGAGTTATTTTATTTCTCTCGCTTGTATTTTTAATAACATTGAATCTTTATTTCCTCGTGAAAATATTTCAAGTCATCCGCCGGCACTCATTGCAGATTCAAGCCCAACAGCAATCAGTACAACAGTCTATAGACATGCCCAGATACAAGAAATCTGTCAATACCATGTACTTTGTGATTAGTGCGTTCTTGGTGTGTTATGTCCCATATGCAGGAACAATGATTGTCCATAGTGATAATGTTAAGATAACACAGAACAAGTTGATGTTGGTGGTGGTTACAGAGACGCTTTTTATGTTGAATGGAGTGTTGAATCCAATCATTTACTTCTGGAGAATCCAGGAAATACGTCATTCGGCCTTTCAATTGTTTCGAAAACGTTTCAGCAATGTGCAGGCATAAAAGAAGAGCTGTTGCTTGGGTCTAGAAATTGTTTTCCCATTTCAGACCTCGTGTCATTCTTTTGAGAATAAGATTCTTTATTTGAGTTTTATCCAAATCGTGTGTCTTGTAATGTGGCACCGTTAAACAAGGAAATTATACTTTAGGGAATGACACGTAGTCTGAAATTATTGCACCCAGGAGAGTAAGGCATATGTTTGTTATATATAGCTCTTATTAACCGAGTGCGAGGTCCGTACCGTAAGTTATCATATGACCCGTACGGCCCTGCTCGCGCGCTCTAATAAAACCATTGGAAAAAGTCACGTGATGGGGGCCGGACGGGTTGACGTAAGCGGGCCGGAAAAACCCGTCCGGCCCTGCTCGAATCCGCGCGTTTTCTTTTTCTTATTTATTTTTATTTTCGTGAGGGTCATATGATAAAATGCTTATTGACTGAGTTAGGTCGGGCCGTACGGGAAAATATTTGGCTCTCGGTCATTTGTACGGACCTCGCTGCCCTCGGTCCGTACGACATGACCTCGAGCCAAATATTTTCCCGTACGGCCCTCCCACTCAGTCAATAAGTACATATTATGGACCGAGTTTTTTCCACTGCCTTATGGCCCAAGCGCGTAGGGCGCGGGCAATAAAAAAGTGGAAAAAACGAGGATCCATAACTTACGGTACGGACCGAGCAAACGAGGTTAATAAGATATTTATTATATGGCAAGGTTAAAAAGAAGAAAAAAAAGGAAATGACAGGTAGATTTCAAAGTGATCGATGAATTTTATTGGTTGAGACAAAGAGCACTTCAAGGGATTCCAGTAGACTGAATGAATTTCTTCTTCAACACATGTTCTGGCAGAACGTATAAATGTTTTGCTAAAATGCATTCTAAAAAAAGTAGTACTGTGAAATATTGTTAAGGAAAGCCTGAGAAAAACTATAACAGTATGAATGTAATAGCCTTAACACTGAAAATCGTACGAAACCAAAGTTTTCAAGCTTACTTAGATTTTGTATAAACACGAAGCTTTCAAAGACCAAAACGTGGTTTTCTGAACTAAAAAGTGATCAAAAGCTCAAAACTACTTTTTAAAAAGCTTGAAAATTTCTTAATTCAAGGCAAAGCTTGGACTTCATGCCAACTTGTGGCGCTTTGAAGGAGAATCATGGACTTCTGAAGCTGATGGAGTAATGTTGAACACACAGTGTGAAATTGAGCCGATTGTGGCTCCAGGAAACAGGATCGTTTTGCCCTCGGTAGAACTTGACAATGGCAGTATAGCATTCTGGCTGGTTACTGAATACTCTTGTTGGTTTGCAAGAGTTAAGCTGCTGCTGCTTGTTGGAGCTAAAGACATTGAAGTTGGGGCTCTGCTTAACGTATCCGACATAAGTCGTTGGTGCTTTAGTGAAGCCGATTTATAGGAACTCAGACTTTGGATGTTTTTATGGCCGCTTAGCTGCATAACATAATTCTCTGGTACTTCTGCATCTAACAAGCGAGAAATTCCAGTTTTACGGACAGAATGGTTGGAAACTTTGGCGGTTTTGATTTCCAAACCAGCACTTTTAGCGCCTTCTGTGAGGAATTTCCCTATTTCATTTTTACCAAGAGGACAACACTTGTACCAAACCTTGCTGTTACGCCAATTCTTATGGTCAACTGCCAGAACAAACGGTGACTCTGGAGTATTGGCTTTTTCAGGACGGTGATCTCTAAACATCTTGTAATAAACGACTGGGTACCTATCTGTGCCAACAGCAAACACTTTGGGGTTAAACTGTCTACGATGTCCACCTTCAAGGCCTTGGCGGGTCTTGCTTCCCCTTTCTGCCGTCCAAACTAGAACTTCACGACCTGTTTCTGGATCTTGCTCTACAACAATGTCTCCCCAGCACAGCTTTCTACTCTCGTCTCTGGCTCTAAAACCAAAATGCATCGCTATAAACCACCAAATAGTTCGCTGCAATGAAAGCGGATCTTCATTTCCAAATACTTTTGCTTCAAAGAGCTTGTTTACATCTGAATCTGTCAACTCAATACTTGCATTTGGTCGCCCTCCCCGACCTTGTTTCACCAGATTTTTACGTTTAGAGGCCAACACTTCTCTTGAACGGGACTTTAATTCAACAATATTGCGTTGGATGCTTTTTTGAAAACTGGAGAGCGAATCCGGCTCGTACTCTTCGCCATTTTGTTTGCGGATATTCTTGAAGAATTGGCCCAGGAGCTTGTCCAAATCAGAAACAGGTATGGCATTGATGTTAAATTTGTTGTTAGTTTTATCTTGGCAGAAATGTTCAAACTTTTTCCAGTCAAGCGTGGTTTTTTTACGGTGTTTTTTGACTTTTCTGATTTTATGAAATCATCAAGCTCTTGACTTGAATCAGACTCAGGTTCCGCTTCGGGCTCTTTGTTTTCTTCTTCTTGTAATATTTCTGCTGGAAACTCAACCACAAAGCTGGGAATTTCATCTTCTGAATACTTCTTCAAACCAGGAATAGTTTCATGAGTTTCCTCGATGTAGTTCCGAAAGGATTCCTCCGACATTGTAGGATGAGTTTCAATTTCGGAAAGAGTGAAAAAGCTGCCAAGTTTGATTTTTCGGTCCGTACCGTAAGTTATGGACCGCAAATTGACCAATCATAGCGCGTGAAATTACCTTACCATATAATATATATATATATATATATATGTAACCAGTGCAATTCCCGTAACAAAGAGGTGATGTGAAAGAATCTAGAGGCAGAAAAAATAAGCGAGCAGATGCATTCAAAACACGCTGCAATTTGTGAAGTTGGCAATTAGGAACGCCATGGTACAGACCGTTACAGTAATCAACTCTGCTAGTAATTAAGACATGGATTACGGTTACTGCAGATTCCTTAGTTAGATATTTACGGATACGTCTGATATTGTAAAGGTAAAAGAAAGCACTACTACAAGTTCTATTAATGTCAGTGTTCGTAGATAAGTCAGACTCAAGCCAGGTGCCAAGATTGCGGACAGTGGAGGTCGGTTTCACAATATCCTCGCCGACCTGGATGCCTTCGATATTCGTCTTTAGCAAGCTGTCTCCCAGTGCCAATCAGCTAAACTTCGGTCTTGTCATCGTTCAGATTTAGATTATTAACCAGCATCCACTTCCTTATGTCTTGAATGCAGTTATCTACCGCTGAAAGAGCATCAGCTTGACTGGTGCTTACACCTGGGACTGAATGAAAGGTAGATCTGGGTGTCATCAGCATAGGCGTGAGCAGATGGCAGATGCGAATTAAGAATCTCAAACAGCTCACTCGAGTATATGAAGAAGAGGAGGGGAACAAGACATGATCTCTGAGGTACACCACACAGTAAAGAGAGAGAGAGTCCATTGATAGCAATTTGTTGGGACCTGTTCTCCAAATATGACAATAACCAAAAGAGAGGGCAGTTGCATGAATGCCAATCGCCGTTTCAAGCTTCTCAAGAAGTGTAGAATGGTCAACGGTGTCAAAAGCGGCACTAAGATCCAGAAGAAGGTCATTCTTGACTTTCAAAAGTGCAGTTTCTGTCAAGTGAAATTTACAATAAGCAGACTGAATAGGAGGATAAAGTCCATTCGCGGTCATGTGATCAGAAATTTGCTTAGCAACTACCTTCTCTGTTAGTTTTGACACAAATTGAAGATTGCTTATAGGGCGGAAGTTCTTAGGAGTTTTTCCATTTTTGCATCTCGTTATATATTTGTATATATACATAAATGTATACTATAACCTTTCTGCAATCGAGTATATGTACAATATCAAACTACCAATTTAAACAAACTGTAATATACGCTCGTTTACCCTGACAATTTTGTCCGTGAAGGATCATCGAAATACATGTCTATTTTATACACAAAAATATAAGATTCCCGAAACGATAAACTGGAGAGGGAAATATGGATACCAAAATTATTAAAAGATACAACAAACAAATTATTGAATTTTTTGTTTTTATTTGTAGGACATACATCACTTCGGGCGTTTTAAACACATGCGCAGATAGTACTAACCGCGCCTAATGAGTAGTCGAACAACCCACCCCTACTCTACCCCCCTCGAAAGATGACTTCACATCGCAACATTTGACATGATTCGCCCTTTAAAGCCCATTCAACATGACTTAGTAGAGCGGCAGTTTTCTCAGGGATTTGTTGCTGTGATCGCTTGTTTTTCCTCATATAAACCATACAGGTACGGAGTTTGGCGTCTTTTAGTCGATTAACAATTATCCTGCTACAATTGAGGTATGAATTTATTTTTGTTCGTCGGCTCACATTTGCTTTTACTTAGTAATTATTATATCGATGTACCTGCTTCGTGCACGACACATCCACATCACATTCATTGTTGCTAGTGAAAAAATATTTTCGTATTTCCAATGTTTTTCCAATCTCAAGAAAATAAGCTGGCCTTTTCTGCAACGCGAAGAACCAAATACTTCTGAGTATTACTTATTAGTAAGAACAGATCAAGTTATGCTAAACCGCTAAAGCAGCTCTAGAAGTCTCTAAGTGTTGTGCATAAAAAAGTGAATATCGCTGGTCATAAAGATTTGGAAGTTGTTTTCCTGCCATTGAGCAAACGAAAGACAGAAGACCGTTATGCATTTATTGACTCGCTTTCAGTAGAAAATCTCTAATATAATCCTTCTAATCCTTTTTCTCTCTGAAGAGTGAAGGAGTTTCTGGAGAATAAATTAATTGGTTTCAATTAGTTTATCGTGAAGTGTGATCGTCCGGGTGAGTGTAGTCTTGAGAAAGACCGTTGTTGGTTGTGACTGACGTTTCGACAACCTTAGTGGAAGTCATCTTCAGAGACCAGTGAGAAAATCAACGAGAGATTTACTCAAATTATTTTGTTTCAAATTCGTTGCTATGCCCTAGTATCCTCGTCTTAATATTAATAGCCAAAAATTTATTGGATGTAAAAAAGTGTCTGCAAATTAACTTTATTCATGTTGGTCTCAGATATTTATACAAATTATTTGAATCCCAAAAGATAATATTTAGAAAATAAACAGAGTATATTTTCAATGTATTATTATACTGGCACAATGAATGTTTCTCGAATTGCGAAAGTTGTGGGGAAAATAGACAATACAATAAAGAAGAAAGACTTGTAAGTAAGAAGTGTTATTCTCAGTAACAGGTACGTGGATTAGCAATGGGGACAGCCGTCAGCTCGATAGGACTTGCAAACAAACCACCCGCACTACCACCTGCTAAACAAAATAACAATAAGGCAAGTGAAATAAATAGAGGATATTACATGGGCGCGCGGAGATACGAATTTTATCTTCGAGTGTTGAAAAGATCTCTCACGAGTGAGCGCAGCGAACGAGTGAGAGATTTTCAACACGAGAAGATAAAATTCCTATCTCCAAAGCGGCCATGTAATATTCTGTTTATTACATAATTATCAATGAAGTATGTTTTGGCTTTTTCAGGCAATTCTTTCCGTGTACTTTTGAATAGCCATCGCAATGGTGTTATCTTCACACGTGAAAATAACATGTTATTTTCACGTGTGAAGATATCAATTTTTCGAAATAGAGAAAAATAGATATTTCATTGGTAATTATATAATAAAAAAATATATCTCATGATACGAGGTTCTAAATCTCTCAAATATTTTTTTTTCGCATTAAAAATCAAGATTTTTTACGGAAACTAGTTTCGTCCTTAAATAGATCAAACTTTTCAATCTTTAAAGATATATGTGGGAATATCCGAATGCGCTTTAGTGTTGTACTCCGAATAGCACGCGGGGAGTCGTCGTCGCGTGGAAGAAGGTTTTTGTAGACGTCAATTCAATCAAGGCGTTTCCATGACATTCCAAAGGCACGTCTCCTGGAATCATCGTGTTTTCCCACAATGTCATGGAAACAGTTTTATTGGCGTCCACTAAACGCTATTTTGTCGCAATGGCAAATTGTATGCGATTCTGTGCGTGCTGTATAGAACGACAGTAAAAAGTCACCTCCAATATAAATACCGCACACAAAAAGACGGTTACTATTGAGTTCGACTTATCCTCAATGAAAAATTTACTCTTCCGACGTTCATTGATTTGCTGAGAAGAGTAAGAACATTGATGAACAACTTTACTTTGAAAACCTTTGTTTCTTCTTTGTGAAGTATTTTTATGTCAGTTGTGTGTTTAGAATGTGTTTTGTTTTGTCTTTGATTGTTTTGTATCGGACTAACGTACATTTGTCTTGTGAAAGATTAAGTTCACTTATGGATGTTTACGTGTGTGTGGATGTCTTCTACAATGACCAGACGACGTACTGCTAGACCAAATGAAGACAAAGACGAAGACAGTAGCCACTCATCCATTAGCATCATTGTCATCCTTACCATCATCACCATCAACATCACCATCATTATCATCGTCATCCTTACCATCACCACCATCAACATCACCATCATTATCATCGTCATCCTTACCATCACCATCACCACCATCAACATCACCATCACTATCATCGTCATCCTTGCCATCACCACCATCAACATCACCATCATTATCATCGTCATCCTTACCATCACCACCATCAACATCACCATCATTATTATCGTCATCATCATTGATGGTGCGGAATCCCACCATCTCCAGTACTAGGCTTTATATGCATCAACATCAATAATATATTTACATTCATAATCATGCTCATGATTATAATTAAAATCATCATCATCTTCATTATCATCTTCATCAACATCATCTCCATTATCATCAACACTACCTTCAACCTCATCAACTCGTACCACCATTATCATCATCGTTTCCCATAATCACAACAGAATCTCTTTTACCGTACAAGACTGGCATTTAAAATCAACGCGCGCGTGCACCAACACGAATAAGTGACTTAAATGTTGTAAGCATGCACGGTATTGAATTGCGCGTAAGTACAGTTAATATAAAGGTAAGTATAACTAGTACGGCAACCCTGACGCCTTCGATGGATGTGGCTTAATTTGCAGAATAAAGTTTGTTTAAACAAATAATTGATCAAAAAAGGCAAAAAAAGAAACGATACTGACAAATTGACAGAAGTACCTAGAAAAACTATATTGGCTAAGAACATGATGTAATATCCTGTAACGTTGCAGGCGTGAATCTGTACACACTCATCAGCGTTGCAGATTCAGATCTTTAGTTCACAAATGTAATGTTTAAAATTTGGTGAGTGCAGCAATTGTTGCAGTGATAGCGCAATAAGTGAAGTAACTGCTGCGGCTACGGACGTCTTATAGTATTTCTGCAATGCATTACAAGCAGTTCAAGATGAAAATGAATGAGAATGCTAGTATGAAAAGAAAAACTTTATTTCAAAAAATCTGGGAAAAAATGCGCATCTTTCACTAGCTGTTGTTGTTTTGATGAGAAGCCGCAGCCAAAAAAATAGTCTTCATTAGTTCCCGAATTAATTTTTCCTGGTATTCTGATTTAGGCTGTCATCCTGGCTTCACAAAAACCGCCAGACTATAAATTTGAACACTTTATGAAACTGTGTCAGAACATCCAAGATGAAAAGAAAAAACTACAGGTAACAGAAATATTTTTATTGATTGATAATGGGATATGTGAATATTGCCAGAGCACTATATGAGAAAGAGAGAAATAGAGGGAGAGGGAGAGGGAGAGGGAGAGGGAGAGGGAGAGGGAGAGGCGAGATGTCTATCCATACTAAACTTGGCTTGACCAGTTATAACTGCCAAACGTTTCAGCACTGAGCTATTTTAGATTGAGCAATAACACTGGACTTTATTTAGTGTTATCTTAGGTTCGGCTGAAACACGGCCTGTCGCTTCTGAAGTCCATACGACGCCTCGAGTTATTCTAATCCACATTATATAGGACAGTATCCATCCGTTGAGAGTAGTCAAATAAGCGACAGTTCTGGATTCCTTCATTCAGTTTGATTGAATACCAGCTTGTTTTTCCCCTTCTAGATTCAAATCAGAATGGAAGTACTTAACTGGCGCAAAAGAGCACAGAATGGTGGCAAAGTCGACGAGTGTAGAGAGCGAATCCTAGCCATGTTGAGTCGTTTCCGAGGAGCTCAGGAGCAACAAGACGTACTCATCGAAAAAGAAAAACTAAGACTAGACGCCTTTAGAAATTGTATCAACGAAGACACGACAAATAGGATAAAAAGTCGGCTGACCTTCTTCTGCAAGCTCAATCGACAACACGAAGCTCTGCTTGAACTTGTCAGACAGGATGTCCAGGACTGTAAGAATATATGTAGAAGATACAGTGAACCAACGTCACAATCTAGGTAAGTAGAGAAACAGAATCACCTGGTCGAAGTGGAATTGCTGTTTTGAAAAGTAACAGAACATTTTTGAATTTTCTTGTCCTTTTTCTACGCCTTCTCTTTGTTTTTTTTGTTTGTTTTGTTTT